TGTCTGCATGAAAATCATTGACCAAACCATCTCCATCTTGCACCTCAGCACCATCATTTCCCTCATCATGTCCCACCATCAAGAGCAGTGGTTCTCAACCTTCTTAATGTCGTGACCCCTTAGTACAGTTCTTCATGTTGTGGTGACCCCCCAACCATAACATTTTTTTCGTTGCTACTTCATAACTGTCATTTTGCTCCCAACATGAATCGTCATGTAAATACCTGATATGTAGGATGTATTTTCATTCATTGGACCAAATTTGACAAATACCCAATATGCCCAAATTTGAATACTGGTGGGATCGGGGAAGGGGGAGTCATTTTGTCATTTGGGAGTTGTAGTTCACCTACATCCAGAGAGCACTGTGGACTCTAACAATTATAGATCTGGACCAACTTGGCATGAATACTCAGTATGCCCAAATCTGAATATTGCTTGGGAAAAATAGACCTTGACATTTGGGAGTTGTGGTTACTGGGATTTATAGTTCACCTACAATCAAAGAGCAATCTGAACTCCACTAACGATGGAATTGATCCAAACTTGGTACACAGAACTCCCATGGCCAACAGAAAATACTGAAAGGGTGTGGTGGGCATTGACCTCGAGTTTGGGAGTTGTGGTTACTGGGATTTATAGTTCACCTACAATCAAAGAGCAATCTGAACTCCACTAACGATGGAATTGATCCAAACTTGGCACACAGAACTCCCATGGCCAACAGAAAATACTGGAAGGGTGTGGTGGCCATTGACCTTGTGTTTGGGAGTTGTAGTTCACCTACCTCCAGAGATCACTGTGGACTCAAGCAATGATGGATCTGGACCAAACTTGACACGGATACTCAATATGCCCAAATGTGAACACTGGTGGAGCTTGGGGAAAATATACCTTGACATTTGGGAGTTGTGGTTGCTGTAATTTATAGTTCACCTACAATCAAAGAGCCTTCTGAACCCCACCAATGATAGAATTATGCCAAACTTCTCACACAGAACTCCCATAATCAATGGAAAATACTGGAGGGATTTGGGATGAATTGACAGTGATTTGGGGATCCGGAGAGCAATGTGAACCCAAACAATTATGCCAAAGGGCTTTCAAAGACCATCAGAAATATGTGTTTTCTGATGGTCTTCAGTGACCCCTCTGAAACCCCCTCGCGACCCCCCCCCCAGGGGTCCCGACCCCCAGGTTGAGAAACACTGATCAAGAGCATCATGATCCTGAGCATCATGAGACACTGATTCCCAACAGCAGGCCAAAGTCCCATTGGCTTTTTGAGTGGCTGCCTCTCAGTCTGGTTCTTCCATTTCACCCCCAATCCTCCTGCCTACAGGTTCTTCCATCCCACCTTCCCAGATTCTCCACCTCTTTCCCAGTTCTCCCATTCTAATCCCGGTCTTGTCAACTGGGGCCTTTCCAGTGCTCAGGTGCTGCCCAGAGGAACATGCCACCCGGAGAGGGATTTCCCAGGGAAAAAACCCAAGGTGTGTTTCGCAGTGGCTGGCCACCCTTTGCATGCTTCTCTCTCTTTGGGTACACCACTCTCTCACGGTCCTGGAAGGAAGTCATCACATCAGAGCCTTTTTGGGGGGGTGGGGAGAGAAGTGGGGAGGCTGAGACAGGAAGCCGAGGTCAACTTTAGGTCTTACGAGAAGCCCTCGCTTGTCTTCTTCCTTCCTTCCTTCCTTCCCTCCCTCCGCCAGCCCTTCCCTTTTTGCTGCGGCTTGGCTTTGGCCCCGAAGCAAGAAGAAGGCGGTTTGGCTTTATGGTAAACGGGGAGAAGACAACATGGGGAGGTTTCCCTGAAGTCAGGCCCAGAGGGAGGAGGAGGAGGAGGAGGAGGAGGAAGAAGCAGTGCTCTTTGGCCTGGGAGGAGGCCCAAAGGTGTGGGTTTGCACACAGGTGAGCAAGAAGGCTTGCCTCCTTCGCCTGGCTCGTGTTGGAAAACTGTAACCAGACTGCAAGTCCCAACAAGCTTGCCCAAATATGGATGGACCCATTATACACACACACACACACACACACACACAAGAGTACAAGGCCTTTTCGGTGGTGGCCCCTCAGCTGCAAATGCCTAACCCATTATATTTGTCGGTGTCAAATTGGACAGCGACCCCTATCATCCCTCTCCATGATCTAGACCAGTGTTTCTCAACCTGGGGGTCGGGACCCCTGGAGGGGTCGTGAGGGGTTGTCAGAGGGGTCACCAAAGACCACCAGAAAACACAGTATTTTCTGTTGGTCATGGGGGTTCTGTGTGGGAAGTTTGGCCCAATTTAATCATTGGTAGGGTTCAGAATGCTCTTTGATTGTAGGTGAACTATAAATCCCAGCAACTACAACTCCAAATGTCAAGGTCTATTTTCCCCAAACTCCACCAGTGTTCACATTTGGACATATTGAGAATTCATGTCAAGTTTGGTCCAGATCCATCATTGTTTGAGTCCACAGTGCTCTCTGGATGTAGGTGAACTACAACTCCAAAACTCAAGGTCAATGACCACCAAACCCTTCCAGCATTTTCTGTTGGTCATGGGAGTTCTGTGTGCCAAGTTTGATTCAATTCCATCATTGGAGTTCAGAATGCTCTTTGATTGTAGGTAAACTATAAATCCCAGCAACTACAACTCCCACAGGACAAAATCAATACCCTCCCCCAATCCCACCAGTATTCAAATTTGGGTGTATTGGGTATTTGTGCCAAATTTGGTCCAGTGAATAAAATACATCCTGAATATCAGATATTTACATTGCTATTCATAACAGCAGCAAAATGACAATTAAGAAGTAGCAATGGAACTAATTTTATGGTTGGGGGTCACCATCACATGGGGAAGCGTATTAAGGGGTCGTGGCATTAGGAAGGTTGAGAACCACTGGTCTAGACTGACTAGGGCAGGCACGGGCAAACTTTGGCCCTCCTTCCAGGTGTTTTGGACTTCTACTACCGGCTGATAGAAATGGTGGGAGTTGAAGTCCAAAACACCTGGAAGGAGGGCCAAAGTTTGCCCATGCCTGCCCTAGTCAGTCTAGACCATGGAGAGGAATGATAGAGGTCACCATCCAACTTGACACCGACATATATAATGGGTTGGGCGCTTGCAGCTGAGGGGCCACCACCGAAAAGGCCCTGTTGCTTGTCCCCATCAGCCACACTTACAAGGATGATGGGATCGAGCGCAGGGCCTCTCCTGATGATCTTAATCTCTGAGGTGGATTGTACACTGGGCCGGAACATTTGTTGTTATTATTATTACAGTGTTCCTTCACTTATTGCGGGGGTTCCGTTCCAGGACCACCCGCGATAAGTGAATATCCGCGAAGTAGAGACATTGTATTATGGAAGGAGGGCCACAATTTGCCCATGCCTGCCCTAGTCAGTCTAGACCATGGAGAGGAATGATAGGGGTCGCCGTCCAACTTGACACTGACATATATAATGGGTTGGGCGCTTGCAGCTGAGGGGCCACCACCGAAAAGGCCCTGTTGCTTGTCCCCATCAGCCACACTTACAAGGATGATGGGATCGAGCGCAGGGCCTCTCCTGATGATCTTAATCTCTGAGGTGGATTGTACACTGGGCCGGAACATTTGTTGTTATTATTATTACAGTGTTCCTTCACTTATTGCGGGGGTTCCGTTCCAGGACCACCCGCGATAAGTGAATATCCGCGAAGTAGAGACATTGTATTATGGAAGGAGGGCCACAATTTGCCCATGCCTGCCCTAGTCAGTCTAGACCATGGAGAGGAATGATAGGGGTCGCCGTCCAACTTGACACTGACATATATAATGGGTTGGGCGCTTGCAGCTGAGGGGCCACCACCGAAAAGGCCTTGTACTCTTGTCCCCCTCAGCCGCACTTACAAGGATGATGGGATCGAGTGCAGAGCCTCTCCCGATTATCTTAATCTCTGAGGTGTGTTGTACACTGGGGTGGAACATTGTTGTTGTTGTTGTCGTTGTCACTGGAATGGAACCTCCACAATAAGTGAGGGAACAATGTAATAATAATAATAATAATAATAATAATAATAATAATAATAATACACTGGGGCGGAACATTGTTGTTGTTGTTGTTGTTGTTGTTATTATTATTATTATCCGTTCCAGGACCACCCACGATAAGTGAAAATCCGTGAAGTAGAGACATTGTATTATGCAAGGAGGGCCACAGTTTGCCCACTATAATTCATATATTGCAGACATAAATCTGGCATTTGCAACACAACTCTTCGGGCCAGGTCCTAAGTTGAAAAGTGTCCCAAGGGTTGGAGATATATATATGGGTTGGACTGCAACTCCCGTTGTCTCGCACCAAAACCTCCCAACAAAGGATTCCCCCAGGCAGTAAGAAGCCAGACCTTAAAACTGCTAGGCTCGGGTCCTACGTTGAAAAGTATCCCAAGGGTTGGAGATATATATGGGTTGGATTGCAACTCCCATTGTCTTTCACCAAAACCTCCCAACAAAGGATTCTCCCAGGCAGTAAGAAGCCAGACCTTGAAACTGCTAGGCTCGGGTCCTAAGTTGAAAAGTATCCCAAGGGTTGGAGATATATATGGGTTGGATTGCAACTCCCATTGTCTTGCACCAAAACCTCCCAACAAAGGATTCTCCCAGGCAGTAAGAAGCAAACAAAGGATTCCCCAGGCAGTAAGGAGCCAGACCTTGAAACTGCTAGGCTATTCAATGCTAATCAAGGTGGCCAATTGCTACATTCACACCTCCTCCAACAGACAAGAGTTCTTTCTCCCACCCTGGACATCATTCCATAGATATACAAACCCAATGTTACTACTTTCCAACAGACCTCACAACCTCTGAGGATGCCTGGGTGAAACGTCAGGAGAGAATGCTTCCAGAACATGGCCTGGAAAACTCACCTCAACCTAGTGATTCCGGCCATGAAAGCCTTCAACATTACATCAAAACAGTGTTATTTGGTGTGATTCTGAGTGCTTACAGCCCCTTCTTGGGTCTCCTTCCAGGCCTCTCCACATCGCTGTGGTCCAAGGGAACCTTTCGGTGGTCCAGCGTTTGGTGGCCCTCTTCCATCAGGGACATCGGGACTTGGACACCTTCAACAACCTGCGGCAGGTAAGCCTCAAGGATTGGGAAATGGAGGGACAAAGGAAGGCTTGGGAATGGCCATGGTCTTTGGCAAAGGTCAACTACCCTTGGAGGCTTCCTTGAGCTATTTTGGCCAAGCCAGCTTGAAATACTAGACCTTGCCATGTCTCTCTGTTCTCTGATATTTGAAGGTACTTACTTAGGCGATCCCTCGTTGGCCGAGTAGGATTGTCTTCCAAGATCGGTGTCCATAGGTGACCGTGGAGCCCTATTCTTGACCTCCATCTTCTCCCGCAGTGAGGACATCGGTTTCCAGACGGAAGGCAATTCCAGTCTAGCTTGGCTTGATGTACCTTCCTCTTGGCACATTTCTCTCTTTCACCCTCCATTCGTGCCTCTTCAAATTCTGCAGCACTGCTGGTCACAGCTGACCTCCAGCTGGAGTGCTCAAGGGCCAGGGCTTTCCAGTTCTCAGTGTCTGCCAGAGTTTTTAAGGTTGGCTTTGAGCCCATCTTTAAATCTCTTTTCCTGCTTACCAACATTCTGTTTTCCATTCTTGAGTTCGGAGTGGAGCAACTGCTTTGGGAGACGGTGGTCAGGTATCCGAACAACGTGGCCGGTCCAGCGGAGTTGATGGCGGAGGACTATCGCTTCAGTGCTGGTGGTCTTTGCTTTTTCCAACATGCTGACATTTGTCCGCTTATCTTCCCAAGAGATTTGCAGGATTTTCCAGAGGCAGCGCTGATGGAATCATTCCAGGAGTTGCATGTGACATCTGTAGACAGTCCACGTTTCGCAGGCATCTAGCAGGGTTGGGAGACAATAGCTTTATAAACAAGCACATTAGTCTCCCTACGGATGTCCCGATCCTCAAAACACTCTCTGCTTCGGTTGTTGTAGGTTTTCCAGGCTATATGGCCATGGTCTAGAGGCATTTTCTCCTGATGTTTCGCCTGCATCTATGGCAAGCATCCTCAGAGGTAGTGAGGTCTGTTGGAAGTAGGAAAATGAGTTTATATACTCTCTGCTTCATTTGGATGAATGCTGCACTCGCAGAGCTCAGGCAGTGTTGTATTTCAGTCTCAATGTTGACTTTTGTGGATGTCTGTAGACAGTCCACGTTTCGCAGGCTTATAGCAGGGTTGGGAGGACAATGGCTTTATAAACAAGCCCCTTGGTCTTCCTACGGATGTCCCAGTCCTCAAACACTTGGAAGAATTCTGCACTCACAGAGCTCAGGCGGTGTTGTATTTTGGTGTCAATGTCGACTTTGGTGGAGAGGTGACTGCCAAGGGAGCGGAAATGGTCAACGCTTTGTAATGTTACACCATTAAGCTGTCTACCGTCTGTAGACAGTCCATGTTTCGCAGGCAAATAGCAGGGTTGGGAGGACAATGGCTTTGTAGACAAGCCTCTTGGTCTCCCTACGGATGTCCCAGTCCTCAAACACTCTCTGCTTCATTTGGAAGAATGCTGCACTTGCAGCGCTCAGGCAGTATTGTATTGCAGTCTCAATGTTGACTTTTGTGGATGTCTGTAGACAGTCCACGTCTCGCAGGCATATAGCAGGGTTGGGAGGACAATGGCTTTGTAAACAAGCCCCTTGGCCTCCCTACGGATGTCCCGGTCCTCAAACACTCTTCTTCATTTGGAAGAAAGCTGTACTCGCAGAGCTCAGGTGGTGTTGTATTTTGGTGTCAATGTCGACTTTGGTGGAGAGGTGGCTACAAAGGGAGCGGAAATGGTCAATGTTTTGTAATGTTACACCATTAAGCTGTCTATTGTCTGTAGACAGTCCACATTTCGCAGGTGAATAGCAAAGTTGGGAGGACAATGGCTTTGTAAACAAGCCCCTTGGTCTTCCTACGGATGTCCCGGTCCTCAAACACTCTGTGCTTCATTTGGAAAAATGCTGCACTCGCAGAGTTCAGGCGGTGTTGTATTTCAGTCTCAATATTGACTTTTGTGGACGTCTGTAGACAGTCCACGTTTCACAGGCATAGAGCAGGGTTGGGAGGACAATGGCTTTATAAACAAGCCCCTTGTTTACAAAGGTCTCCTTACGGATGTCCCAGTCCTCAAACACTTGGAAGAATGCTGCACTCGCAGAGCTCAGGCGGTGTTGTATTTCAGCCTCAATGTTGATGTCTCTAGACAGTCCACATTTCATAGGCGAATAGCAGGGTTGGGAGGACAATGGCTTTGTACCGAATGTCCTGGTCCTCAAATGGATCTCCCAGTCCTCAAACATTCTCTGCTTCATTTGGAAGAATGCTGCACTCGCAGAGCTCAGGCGGTGTTGTATTGTGGTGTCAATGTCGACTTTGGTGGAGAGGTGGCTACAAAGGGACCGGAAGTGGTCAACGTTTCCTAATGTTAAACCATTAAGCTGTATTTCTGGCATTGGAGAGGGATTGTCTGGTGCTTTTTGCTGGAAGAGCACTGGTATTCTCGATGTTCAATGAGTGCCTTCGGATACAGATCCTCTACTGCAGGCATGGGCACACTTGCGCCCTCCAGGTCTTTTGGACTCCAACTCCCATCATTCCTGACATCCTCAGGCCCTTTAGTTTTGCTTTTCTCTTGGGCCCTCCCTCCAAAATGCCCAAGTTTGCCCATGCCTGGTCTAAAGAGTCCGACCAGACTCTGTACCCGATTGTTTCCCTCAGTGCCTCGAGGCCGTGACTGGATGGCTGCATGCCAGCAGGTTGAGAGTGAACCCAGCGAAGACGGAGATCCTATGGCTGGGTCGACCGGGCAGTGGGGACATCCAGCTGCCTACCCTGGATGGCGAGGCATTACGCCCATCATCGTTGGTCAAGAGTCTGGGAGTCCTTTTGGACCCTCTGCTGACGATGGAGGCCCAGGTCTCTCTCCGCCGTGAGCAGAACCGCCTTCTTTCACCTGCGGCAGGCTAGACGGCTGGCCCCCTCCCTGTCCAGGGACGACCTGGCTACGGTGATCCAGGCCACGGTCATCTCAAGACTGGACTACTGTAACGCCCTCTACATTGGCCTTCCTCTGTTGGTGATCCGGAAGCTCAAGTTGGTACAAAACGCAGCTGCTCGGCTTCTTGCGGGAATTCCGATGAGATGCCACATCACCCCAATCTTACTGCAGCTGCATTGGTTACCAATTGAGCACCGGATCACTTTCAAAGGGATGGTACTCACCTTTAAGGCCTTGCATGGTCTGGGGCCAATGTACCTGAGGGACCGCCTCACCCCCTCCCAACCCCAGAGATCCCTCCGTTCTGAGGACCAAGATCTATTGGAAATTCCCAGTGTCAAGACCTTGCGTCTAACAGCAACCAGGCGCAGAGCCTTCACAGCAGTGGCACCATCGCTCTGGAATACTCTGCCACCTGAAGTCCGTGCCTTGCGGGACTTACCAGCTTTCCGCAGGGCATGTGAAGACATACCTGTTTTGACAGGCCTTTGATCTTTGATAGTGTTGTTTTTAAATTGTTTTCAATTGCTTTTAAATTTTGTTAGATTTTAGCTATTCTTGGAAGCCGCTCCGAGCCCCAGGGGAGTGGCCGCATAGACGGTTAAATAATAAATAAATAAATAAAGCCTAGCTGGGCCCCAAATGCCCCATTTCCCCAGGCATTTGGATCCATCTGGTTGTAGGCCGTGCCAGTGAGAGAATTCTGGTCCCTTAGAGTATCTTTGCAGGACCTCCAGAGGAATGCCGTGGGAGTCGGAGGGCGTGTGCAAGCCGCCTTCCCCAAAGTGCCCTTTGCCACTCTCTTCTGAAGAACTCGCGCCTTCACGGGAAGCTTATCTCGCGTTGCCATCGCACTCTGTGGCCAGGCTTCCCCAGAAGACACTTTGCACAACGTCCTTGAACTTTCGCAGAGGAACTTTGAATGGGTCTGAAGGGTGGCATGCAAAGTAGTGCTGAGTGCAATCGTTTGGCAGTGCGGGCGCACCTTGGAAACATTTTTTAGGAAGTGGAATCAAACTGCATTGATTCTGTAGTCTGGATGCACTCCTTGTCAGCTCTCAGAGATCCCACCTCAATGTTATGGTGACCCTCAACAGTGGAATGAGGTGACTTGGAGTCTGGTGCTGTCTCCTCCTCTGCTGGATGGCCATCTGTCGGGAGTGCTTAGTTGGTGTCCTCCCACACATCGGAAGGGGATCAAGCTGGGTGGCCTTTGGATGTCCCAACTCTAGGATTCGGAGTGCCGCGGAGTCCCTTCCACACTGCCATATGAAATCCGGATTATCTGCTTTGAACTGGATTAAGCGACAGTGAGGACTCATATAATCCAGTTCAAAGTGGATAATGTGGATTATCTGATTTGAAAATCTGGATTATATAGGAGTGTAGGTCCAGATTCTTTCTCTGGAGGTCTTTAAGCAGAGGCTGGGTGGCCATCTGTCAGGAGGGGTTTGATGGTGCTTTCTCCCATAGCAGAAAGAGATTTGATTGGATGACCCTTGGGTGTCTTTCCAACGTTTGTATTGACAGAGTCTTTGTCTCTGAAGATTTTGAAGCAGAGGCTGGATGACTATCTGTTGGGAGGGCTTCGATGGTGACTTTTGGTGTCTTTGAGAGTGTGACAGAGTCTCCTTCTCTGAAGATATTGAAGCAGAGGCTGGATGGTTATCTGTTGGGAGGGCTTCGATGGTGACTTTCCGCATATCCGAAGTGGGCCAGCCTGGATGGCCTTTGAGTGGCCCTTCCAACTCTGGGATTGAGATTATGATAGTCTCTTTCTCCGGATGTCTTCAAGCAGAGGCTGGATGGTCATCTGTGGGGAGAGTTTTGATGGTGTCTTCCTCCATGGCAGAAAGGGGTTGGATTGGATGACCCTTGGGTGTCTTTGAGAGTGTGACAGAGTCTCCTTCTCTGAAGATTTTGAAGCAGAGGCTGGGTGGCTATCTGTTGGGAGGGCTTTGATGTTGACTTTCCACATAGCCGAAGTGGGCCAGGCTGGATGGCCTTTGGGTGGCCCTTCCAACTCTAGGATTGAGATTATGATAGTCTCCTTCTCCGGATGTCTTCAAGCAGAGGCT